GTAAGTCTATAAATGACAAACTACTCTACACATATATATTACATTCCAATATCTATAATAAAACAGACTCAGACCACAAAGTCAACAAGTAAAATAATAATATAAAGAAAAAGTATTTCATTTGTTGAATGAAGCAAAAGCTGTTGTAACTTACACTAGCACTGTATAGAACTGTTAGTCTACTGAGAACTTCATCCATTCTGCTCAGTCCAGTTACTAAGAGCTCAGAGATGACCCACTGCAAGATTTCCACAGTATTTTACATGCTATAGCTTCCACTTCTCAACTTGTTGTCAGATGCAAATAGAAAACTGGAACATTCACCGTAAAGCTGGCTCAAGAGTATCTTGAATACAGTAGCTTACATAATTTTTATATTGCTTTAATCAAAAGAAAAACTTCAGTCAACATTTGGAAGAGCTCTGAAAATGCTCTGCTGATTATAATCTGTTACGATTGCTTTTTTGGCAGCCAGGTTAGGTTTACTGAGGCATTAACAGGAAGGAAAATGGAGAGGCAGGAGGTGGCAAAACGAACACTCTCATAGACAACACCGCCAGACCAGGACATAAAGGAGGAAATGATGCAGTAAAAATGATGTGACGCGGAGACCACTCAGGCCAAGGTGAGACAGCTGTTACACTGTGACTGCAACATACCACGCTGAGCACACGTTCAGTGTAACCTTGGGCTTTTCCTTCCCATCTGTGTTAAAACAAAACAGTAACATGAGATGGTTAAGAGCTGCAGGACAGGGATGGCCTCTGGGATGTGTGTCTAGCAGGTGAGGTCAGTCAGTCCTATTGTAACACAAATCCAAGATATCTCCTAGCAAGTGACAGATGCTGAGATCTTCTTTATAGCCATTGATCACAAAACAGAATGGGAAGTAGATTTTTTTTTTTTTTACTGCACTATTATTCTTCACAGGCCACTGAAGGTAAACTTCATCTACCAGCTTGCGGTTGTAAGATTTAGTACAGAGATGTGTTTAAAACTTGAGAAATGGTAAGAGCTAGACTTTGAAAGCATGCGTTCTTAGAAACATTTTTAATAAAAAAAGGAATGCACTTGTACAACTGAAAATTTCCATATGTTACAAACTTGTTGAGTTTGTACTAACTCCAGAAGACCTAAGACAAGGTGGAGAGATGGTATCCTGACCTTGGCCAGAAGCCCAGCATGACCTTTCAGATGTGGTGAACTACCATTCAGCAGTCTCATTCTCACAACTTTCCTCACTTGTACAGCAGAAGAATAATTCTTGTCCAGGCTAAATAAAGTAGTAAGGGAGGAAGTGGGCTGGCTGGAGGGTGGAAGAAGACTCAACACTGAGTAAAGACGGGATGGAGGCTCTTGTTCATAATTGGTTCAGTCCTCAAGCTTGAGTCTTAGCTTTTTTGCAGGCTGGCAGTGTTGTTTCTTCCTCCTCAACCTTGCGAGGTTTCTTCACTGTGTACACTACCCCACAGGCACTCTTCCGAGTTTCTGGAATATACAAGCAGAAGCTGTAGTACCTCAAATAAAATGACACTAATGCATTAATGCGTACTCATTGCAGGTGTCCATGCCACAAAGCACAATTCAACATGTTTAACAGCCAGCCAGCTAGCACACACAGCAGGTAAGCAACCTGCGTGGGCAGGAGTTGGGGATATGCTGCCTTATGGAGCGGGGAAACTAAAGAGGGAAATCCGATGGTGGGTGTAGAATTACAGTAAACATAAGGGAAAACTGAGGTCTGCAGGGATTGAGGGGCTGCAGACACACAAAACCACACAAAACCAGGCTTAATCAGTTCAATAGTCCCAGAAGGACACATTCTTGAAGTGCTGTCAAAAAAACATTTCTGAGCAAAACATACTGTTCTTAAAAAAAAAATATAAAAAATGTATTCACATACCCCAGGATCTTAAACAGACTAGGCTGGCACAGCTACATTGGCAGAGGCTCCCCTATACATACCAAGTAATTGGCTTTATGGTTTTCAATATTTTATTTACAGAACCCTCAGCATTACCATAAAGTACTACTGTGTGATGTTATCAAACTCCTCATGTTTGCCAAACAACTTGGTGAGCCCAATCAATTTCGAAACTACTAGGAGGAGGCTTCTCTGCACAATTAGAGGTAGAAGAGACTCCCTACAAATATTCTGTTAGCGAAGAGGCTCTGCAAGAACCTTGCCAAAATATATGGACTTATTCTGGGCTAGTATTCTTTCGGGGATAAGGAAATGACATTTGCTATTTAATTTCACAGATAAGCTAGATGATGGTCTTGAGAAATTCCACATCAACTTGACAAAAATTCTTCCAACACACTGTCTCTATGTAGACGAGTAGCAGACTGGAGGATTATCTTGTTCACAGAAATGCCCTCTCCAAGAGGTCTAAGCTACCTGCTGTCAATTACCTCTGCTGAAACAAGAGATGCAAACCAAATCCTACTGTACCTTTGAAACTTAGAGCAACTCAAGTTGTTGGGAACACGACTAGAAATCATACCTTCCCAACAAACCTCGGCAAAGGCAGAAATTAAGAGCTAGATGCAACTTCTCAGTTGCAATGTTAAAATGCCATTGGAATAAACAACAACAAAATCAAGAAACACTAAAAACCAACAAATAAGCATGTGAAAAGGAGACTAGAGGTGGAGAAAGCAGTGCTACAGTGGAAAGCAAGGGTCTAAACTGATTGCTGGGACACAAACTGCGGCATCTCTGCTGCACTGACACCAGGACACAAAATACAACAGGAAACCTTTTGATTTCCAGTGCAGGGGGCCACAAGCTAAATTTCCACTATTTTAGTACTAAAAATGGGTAAACGGAAGAGAGTCACTGTGAGCTTCCTCTGCTGAGAGCACAAGGAAGAAAGTTTTGTTTCACCAAAACACTTCAAGCCATCGTATGCTATATGAAACATTTCTTCCTAAGCAGCAAGCATGTGGGGTATTTCATTTTGCATCAAGTTTGAAGTGATCCACACTGAAGAGTGAGTCAGAAACACATCACATAACGAAGCATCAGAAAGGGACATGGCAAAGTTTGCTTCTGCACTCATGCTACAATAGGGTAAACGCAAAACATGCATTCCGATTTTCCTGAAGTCAACGATGTAGTTTCTGCTGATGTCAGCGAGATCAGCATTCAACCCTTTCTGAAAGAAGGGATAGTTTCACTATGCAGCACAACAGGCAGATCTGTGTTTTGGCTAAACAGTTTATGACTCTCTAATGTGGTTAAGCGAGCACTCCAGTACAGACAGCACCATCAATTCTTCCACTGAATTGCTAACATGGCAACAAGGGAAAACAAAACACCCTTGCTGCACAAGCTCCTCTGTATGCATTGGACAAAGGAGCTAAAACCCCAAGCTGACTTGCCCTGTAAGGTCTTGGGCCTTTTGGAAAACATGCATTAACATGAACTTAGTTTAACAATGCAAGTGTTACTTAGATAAGCCTGTGTTCGTTTCGCTCACCTCCATGAAGCATGGTGGCTCTGCAGTTGGTAGACACAGCTGCCTTGGCTTCGCCTTCTGACAGCCCAAACAGCAAACCTCTATCACCTTTGCTCAGGATCAGAACGCATGGAAAGGAACAAACAGAATAGGGAAGGCTGTCTGCATGATAGGTTTGCTTACTCTACAAATAACTGGGAATTAGCAAAGCTGTAACTTGAAGTGACATTTTGCATAAGGTTACCCAGAGGCAGGGAGCTGAGGCACCCAATTCTCCTGTCTGCAGTTCCCCAGCAGCCCTCCTGGAAAGCTCCTGGCAACATTGCTTTTTTCCAGACGAGAAGTTGTACTTTTGAAAATAAAAATATGTCAACACAGGAACATTTTTATTTGCATAATCAAGTAAAAAAATGACCCCACTGAAAATTTCCATTTTGAGGAAAGGGCACTGTCTGATACAAAAGCACTATGCTGAAAAGTTCCCAGCCACCTCGGGCAGGGATGACACCAGATTACGTACGTTAATTCGGGTTGAACCTGACTGCTCTTTTTAAGAGGGAAGGAAAAGTTGTGCGTAAAATCCTTCCAGGCTGCACACCCTCCCACGCAGTTCTCACGACTCAGCACGCTCCTCCCCTTTGAGGGACAGTCCAGATACATGTTTGTGGGGTGGGGAGGGGGGAGTAGTAAAAATGCAGCTGAATTCCTAAAACAAGGGGAGTAAAGACACTCTCCTTGGTTTCTAGAACACCACCACTTACTTAATAGCACATATGTAACTAAGGACTGGAAAATTCAGAACAGAATTAACCAGCACGCAGATAGGAACTTTTTCTTTCTCAATATGATTTTATAGCTGCAAAAGGTGTGGCACCTTGGGAAACCATAAGTAATAATTTCTGGTTTGATTCACAGTGTCCATATATTTCTGTGGGTTTTATTCATTTCTCTACTTACACCCACATGATATCAACACATGTCACAACGAAACATACCTTTAGCTGAACACAGACATTACTATTTACAGTGACTGCTCATGCTACCCCATGACCAAGAGCTGTTTCTCCTTCCACACCCACTCAGAGCCCTGATTCATTGAATTGGTCACCAACAAGCATCACCGTGTAAAGTTCAAGGAGCTTAACGGATGGAAGTATTTCAAAACCACTTTGAACTTTCACATGTTACTATTAACTGATGTCTTTGACTTAGAAAAAAGGATACAGATTAGCCACGTCGTAAGGACCTCGTAGTTCTAGAGGCTAAAACAAAACAAAGAAGGTTGGATATGTGCATGCACTTTCTTACAGGCTGACAGAGTGTGAGCAGGCAGGACAGGGCTATCAGGAAGGCAAGATTAAATTCTACATAATACTAAGCTGTTTAAAATGCACTAGGAAATCAAGCAAATACTACTATTTTGGAAAACAGAGTCCTCATATGGGAGAAAATTGTTATGGAAAAATACCACAGCAACAAAAAAAGCCCCACTCAACTAAACAAAAAAAACCCACCAAATCCCACAATACAATTCTTTGGTAAAATAGATTGATTAAAAAAACCCACAAGATGGCAATCATATTTAAAGTTACAATTTTTTATATGTTTAATATATAATTAAAGCTGTGTTTTCAGTCACAGATAAATCCTCAAATTGTTCTGACTTCACCAAAAATCTGAGACTTACCCTTTCAGCTGCACTAGATATAACAATGTTCTGGAAAACAAAAGAGAACAAACGTTCATCTGTCAGACAGCATCGAGAAATGGAAAAAAAAAAAATCAGCAAGCAGCAAAGACTTTACAAGCATTAGCTGAGTTCAGGCTCAGAACTCAATTAACCATCAGAGTATCTGATGCTCTCAGATGAACTGAACTCTAGCAGAGCACTGATCTTAATATGGGGACGTGAATAAACCCAGGTTATCTCCCTGTCCCCTACAGAGAGAGGGACACAAGGACAAGCCCTCCCTTGCAGTTACAAACCTCTCACAGAGAGAGGTGAGATGAATAAGCACCATACCTTTCAGAGGGACAAGCTAAGCAGTATAAATGTCAGGGTGATGGCATTAGGCAAGCACCTATCATCCTGTATTTCTCATAGTGGACTTTAAAGGGACCTTAAGGGTAAAGAAGCATAGCAGAGTTGCACACACTGTGTTAAGAAGTGTCCCCTCTATTTAGACTAGCTGAAAGAGGCCCCACAAAAAACAACTTGGCCTGAGCTGTAACAGAAATGGATTCAGGAGTTCAGGATCCCCCAGAAGCAGCTTACAGATAGTGCCTTTAGACAGTTTGGTGCTCCTGAATTTTCAGCCTACTCTTTGAGGTGTGGTACAACTCAACCCTAACCTCAGCACTCACATTGGCCGTAATTAAACTCACACTGGTTGAGGAAACCTGTCTGCAGGTAGGCAGTGGCTGCCAATTCATGTTATATGCTCACTTCCCTCAACACTGGCACCCCAGGAAAACCACCAGGCAGAGTGACATCCTTCTCCCTTCTCTCCCAAAGGGTTTCTACAGAACAGGTACATGACTGCTCAGGGGCTGGCAGATAACACAGCTCAGCTGCCAGCGCTCTTCTGATGTTAAATCTCCAAGGATGCTCACCCAGGGGAAGACTGTTTTGCACAGGTGGAAACTGTAGCAGCAGCAAAAAAGTCCTTGCACCTTCTATTATACCGAATAAAAGGCTTTGGGAATTCCTGCTCGAGTGGGTGGGAAAGAGAATTGTACTGAGGCAGTGGAAGACTTTCCCCCTCTGACGTCAGTACCACCAACACATCACACCACCTCCAGTTACAAGGTGGGGCTTTTGATCCCTTCCCCACACTGCTTTGCTTGCACTGCCACCTCTGCAGCACAAAGAGCAGGTCAGACACCGGAAGGAAATGCTCTGTGTGCAGCTGGAATTCAACCCATAAAGAGCCATTTGCATGGAAATGACTGCATGTTCACGCTGTGCCCAAGGTTTCTTTGTGTGCTGAGGAGGAAAAGATGGGACAGACAACTTTGCTTTAGCATAAGGAAAGCCAGAGGCTGAAGCAACACACACATCAAGGTGACTTAACAGTACAGACCATGAAGGAGCCTAGGACGTTTCTTTCTGTGTAGTTCACCTTTAAAACGACTGTACTATGGATCCCAAGGGTGCTTTTCAGTGGTGCTGACTGCAAGAGTTTGCTAGGAAAACTCAAGTCTCCTGCTCCGAGCTGTAGCAACCAACGCCTGTCTCCCAGGCTCAGAGAAGTTCCCAGAGCATCTGTGCGAGCCATCTCGAACGAGTGTGGGACTGCGGCTCACCGCTGTGCGCTGGAGATGCACTCCGCCTGGTCCAAAGGCAGCTGGCTTCTGGTTAGGGGATGGGTAAGACGGGAGAAGGAGACAAGAGCAGGCAAGAAAAGCACTGCTAACAAGTGAAGGAGAGGCAGGCAAAGGCAAATCCAAGGGAAGGGCTAAAGGGAAGAACTCAAAGGCAAAACATTATCTCCCCAGGTAAAGGAGACGGCAGCTGTTCAGTACACTGCTCCAGGCACAGTACCCACACTCCGCTACCAAAAGGCAGCAGGTGAGGGACTGTGGCTATGCACACCGTCTGTCTGGCAAGGCTGGCGAGTCCCTCATTCATCCCCTGCACATTTTAACATGTTTTAAAGGCTCTGCTCAACACCAGCTCTGAGGACACAAGTACATTTCTGGAAGTTTCTCTGCCCTACTACAACAGAGGGGAACAAAGAGATCCAAAAGCTGCTACAAGTTCAGCAACTATAGGTCACAGAGGGCAAGAGCTGCATGCCAGGTGCCAATGCAAGCAGCCTATCAACCAGCCATTCCGCGTCTTGTTAAAGCAAAGTTTACATAACTGATGGAGACAAACTGCCAGTGAGGGCTAATAAACACCTCTGCTGGCACCAGGTACTGTGCCTGGAGGCAAGAAATAAAGGCAAAAAAATAAAGGCAAGCTAGCATTCCTCTCCCAGCTCTTCCAGTGCCTAGCAACTTGCCATGCCCAGCACCTGCTGATTTACCTTCCAGGCACAGATGAGGCACTACATTGACAGATGCAGAAAGAAAGGGCGCTGCACACAGACACAGCACCCAAACATCTCACTTGCTGTGTTTGTGATGCCAGCTCAACAGGTGCTCTTCAAATCAACAACTGTGTGAGAAGCACATCTTTAACTGCACAGAGGAAAGGGAAGTACTAGCAAAAAGGAACCCCAAAGGAAAGGGATTCTGCATGTAGGTATCTCATATACAAGACAGTATTTTGTGCAATTAACTCTCAGAGCTTGGCTTCTCAGGAAAGGCAGTGCAAATACTGACTTTATTTTGCAGCACTAAAGGAATTCAACTGTTTGACCCACTCTGCTGTCCTATAAACTAAGTGGCTGCCATGCCTGAGGGGAACAGAGGTACCAACAGATCTGCTTTCAAGTGGCCTTCCAAGCTATGTATCCCACTTCAGACTAGATCTGCAGGGTAATGCCGATTTTAGCTTCTCTGGATTAGATAAGTGTGGCAAAGGCCGTTTCCAATAAAGGTGGTGGGAACTACAATCTCCTTTAACTTGGATATGTATTATGACATGCTTCCCTGTTAAAAAAACATGGCCTGAGAGGACCCAGAGTGACAGGCAGCTTAGCCTGGTAGCCTGGGAGGAGGTATGGTACGAAAGCAATGGATTACAGGCGTCTCAGCTGCAAGCGTTACTTCTTCCTTGGGTTTCAGCAGCAGGAAAGAATGCAGTTGATCTGACTGCAGCAAAGCCCTGGATGACAGCCAGCCAGCTGTTGGGTCTGTTTTGTATACTGGAAATTTACTAACCGTTTAAAAACAAAAAAAATCTACTTTTTCCTATTATTTTCTACCTCCTATATTACAGGTACACTATCCAAAAAGAGCTTTTGGTCAATCAGAAATATGAAATGGAGGATTTCAAAGAGATGCATGGAATTCAGTTCTAGTGCAAACCTTAGACCTCTGGCACTTTTTTTCCCCCTTTTCTTTTGCGTATTGCATACAATAACAACAGATAGGTTATTCTGAAAAAGGACTCTGGTTATTCTGAAAAAGGACTCTAACAGTTTGACAGCTTAAGAAGAAAGAATGCAGTGGTGCATGGCTGGAAGCATCTGGAGCTAGAATAATTGTGTCCTTGTATTAGTAGGCAAAGATTTAGTCACAGCTTCAGAAACCCCAGCACCAAACCCATTTAAAATGGCTCAGCATGTACGACTCCAGAAGAATTTGAACTGAATTAATTAGCTTGCTTTCACTTTGAGAGCTTACCTTTCCTTTGCAGATCTGCATCAGGCTGATCGCATTTGAAATTGTGTATCTTCTCATTGTGGAGTCTTTGATGGCGGGCGTGTAAAGAAGTTCAAAGTAAATGCCTCGATCTATTGCCTTCACATGAAAGACAGTGATCAGAAATCAAAAGGAGAGAAGCATAACAATCTAACAACTGCTGTCTATTATTGATGCAGCTTATTCTCTGTTTAACTGTGTTATATATGAAAAAATTAAGGCAGAATTGTTCCAGCAAGAGCACAGTATAACACTGGGGGTGGGGCAGAGTGGAGACGTTTCACTGTACACCAGATTTATATACTCGAATCTTGGGATGACAGATAAATAAGGTTTAACAAACAAAGAAATATCAGTCACTTATTAGTTGCAATTTGCTTTCCTCTGTCACAAAGTCAAGGACACAGGTAACCACTGCTAGTCAGAAACAAGTCTGGAAATTTTGAGGACACTCCTCCTCTAGCCCCACCGCCTGCTGTAAGGAAGACCACCGCTTCACACAATACCCATGTCTTGCAGCTGAGGAATTTATCCTTGCATAAAAGCAGCAGTGAGGTCTCTTCTCTCCTATCTCCCAGCATACTCTGTTATTTGTGACAATGTTAAACAACAGTGAGTCACAGGTGAGGTTCTGAATAGTAATACTCAATGTATTTTCAGTTGCTTTAAAATCCCTTGCTATCTCTCAAAGTACCTCATCAAAAGCCTAGTATCCTTGGTTTTGCGAACACATGGAGAAGAGTTAAAAAACTCGCTATAGAACACAGTGAGTTAGCGATAAAGACACAATCCGAAGGTAGGAATTCCTAGTTCCCTGGCCTATACTACATTTGCCTGAAATGTTGCTCTATGCTTTACACTTATATTATTTAAAAAATGCTGCAATGTTAATACTGTAAAAGAGTCCAGTAACTGAATACAGATGGAATTAATCCAGCTCCCATCTATGCATGACCTCTGAACGTGAGCACAACAGAAACTATGTACACATCAAATGTTTTACACAGAGCTGGTCCGACATCTGCAAACAAGAAGAGAATTTATCAAAACCAAAACAGGTGAAGGCAATATCAATTTCCAGCCGAGCAGATTTTTAACCTCATCTCCCACCACTTCAGCTGCCTGCCAATCTGTCTGTCTGGCATCACAACAACCAAAACTGACTGCCTGAGGATGCGCAAAACCAGTCTGACAGACTGCCTTGGAGCTGGGAGTGTGGAAGCTGAGAATTAGCTTGTAACAATAATGTCTTCAAATACAGGGCTGCAAAAGTCACTCTGCTCCTCACCCAGGTTAGCTCCTGGAGCTTTAGGCAGCTAGGGTACTTTCAAATAACATTTCATACAAAATCATTATTCCAAATGGAATGCTGAAATTCCCAGTCTACAGGAAATTTCAAAGTATTACTTCCGTTCTGTTTCAGGATTAATTCCACTTAATTTTTAATTTTTATTCTAGGTCAAACTTTCATAGATTTCACAGATTTCTAGGTTGGA